TTTGCGCGGGCCCCGGCTCGGCCTGGCGCCTGTGGCCGTGGGAGGTGACAAGATGTGGCAGGCTTTGGGTTTGCTAACATCCGTGTAAGTGCGTAAGGCTGGGAAGGGCCCTGTCACCCGAGTCCTCTATATCACAGAGGCTTTTGAGTCTTGCAGTGCGAAGTCATTTGGGAAGTGTAAAATAAAAAGCTGTTTGGGTGATGAGGGACCTAGATCATGCACGATGTGAACACAGTACAGCACTGTATTTGCAGGCAATTGCTGTCTTAAGCCTGCCCAAAGTGAGGTAGAGTTTATGCAAAATGCTTTCAGATCATGAGAAGGGTCTGTGAGTCTGAAATATGTCAGCTTTTTCCACTTGCTTTGATAAAACATGCAGCTGGCTTTAATTGCTTCCTCTCAGTTCTAAGATCATGAGCCCTGAGAAGCCTACTGATAAGTGTTGTATGTGATCGTCCACACTTAAACTGTATAATCTTTTAAAATATAAGTTGAGAGTAATTACACTTGTCATTAAAGGTTTTAAAATATGACTACAGATAGCTGATAGTTGATGTCTTTCTGGGTAGCTCATACTGACAGATTTGGTTGCTTCTACTTTGTTTTGACATGGTAACCTGGTCCAGCAATTATTCTTGTTGGAATCTGGAGTAATTTTGCACTAGAGTGATAAACCAGAATAGATTTGTGGTGATGCAGACTGTGCTCCAAAGTGTTTTTACGGTCCTCTTTTTGTCTGTGCTGTTTCATACCCTACTCCAGAGAACTGGTTGGTGGTAATACGGGGTTGCAGACAGTTCTCAAGCTGCTTGATGGCTGTAAAACTGTTTTTAGCTTCTTTACGCTTGCGTGCACTTGCATTCAATGTACTGTTGCTTATTACCACGTTTCTTTGAGCCACCTCTATGCAAAGCCTGACTACTAGGTTTCTAGCAGCCACTGTATGAGATCCTGTCCCAGCACATGCCTTGTGGAGAGGCACAGGTCCAAGAAGTTGATATTCAGGCACAAAAATTAGGTCGTGTTTATAGACGGTGCGGTAATGAGGATTGAGCTTGGTCACAGTAGGGGTGCCAGGCAGTGCTTCGTAAAACAAAAGCTTTGAAGGTGGCCTGAAAGAGAGATGAAGACAAAAGCCCCGACTTCCAGGCTGTGTTCCAGGCACCTGCGTATGTAGCAGAAAAGCAGGACAAGATTTGCTTTCCAGGGGCATAAGCAAGGCCTTGTACAAACATCCAAGCCCGATCTTCTCCTTTCCAACTGTAGTTACTGTTGTTCTGTCTGAGCGTGCGGGCTGCCAGCAGCACTGCAGAGCAGACTGGTAAACACGATTGCGTTTGCCCTTAGTGGCTGTTTGAGGCTGATGTATGCTGTGCAGTATGTGTTTCTTCTCGCATCAGACAACAGCCTCCTGTTGCATGATCAAGATGGTGGCCTGAGTTTGAAATTTACAGAGGCATTGGGAATTGCAGGGGAGTCACATCTGCTGACAAAGCCAGATCTGCTTTGCTGTGTGCTCAAAGTGTTGATCTTGTCTTAGTCAGCCTTTTTTCATTCCCAGGGCTGGGTCCCATCTCTTTCCCACGCACATGCTGTGTGCTCAGCTCCCAGGCATGCTCAACTAAAAAGAAAGCATACCTTATCATAGGAGCATACCTTATCAAGGAGCACTTTTACTGAGAGGAGCATCTTTAATGCTGCTGCAGAGTAGATGTTGCATGTGAATCATCCAGAGAATTAACGTGCTGCATCAGTGAAAGTTTTTAAATAGCACTTAGCCAGGCATTTTCTTATCTGTACCCATTTGTATCAATTGATTTACTAAAAACAAAATCACAAGGCCCATGCGTATTGCAGCAATATGAAGTACAATGCAGTTTCACACGGTACCAAATGCTTTGCAATCCCAAAAGGCCTACAATTCATTGGAAAATAGCAATAATGGCAACGTAAATGGTGAGAGTGTCTGCAGAGGATGAGTAATAGAATTAGGGATGTGGGAAGGGCTGTGGAGTTGCAAGGCTGCCTTCTTCCCACTCCTTGAGTGGCTGTCCACACCCAGCCCTGCTGAAAATTAAGAGTTGGTGTTCTGGTAAATAAGTGCAATATGTATCTTGCTAGGTTCCTGTTACACACTTAAATGGGCAGTTGCTTTGCCATACAGATGAGGGCTCACCTGAAGAAGTGCAAATTGCAATTGCTAGTCTGCCTTGGTGTGATGTGGTTCTTCCTGCTGTTCATTTTGAACCTGGCTCGAGGTGAACACTGTTTCCCTCACTAGTACTGCAAGGTCTAATTTTTTATATGCTGCCTTGTTAATAAGAAAATGAAATACAGCTCAGCAATAACCCTGCATGCTCTTTGATGTTAGCAGTCACTCACCTGCCTGTTAGTAAGTCTTGGTGAACTGGAAAGTTCCTTGTACTTTTCACACTAGTACATGAGGAAAAATGCAGGAGTCTCCTGAATTAGGGAAGAAGATCTCAGGCTCCTATCCCAGGTTTGTGAAGGGGTGTTTTAGTTTTGTTGTTTAGGTTGGGGGTTTTTTTACCCTTTGACTGGATGAAAATTGACTACTAATGACAGTTTTCTCATCATGCAGCAAGGATTACTTCAGTGTGAGGTTGTTGAGGCATATGAAGGGTGGTGGGTGCCTCATGATTAGGATAATTTAAGATTGATTTATTATTTTTTTTTTCCTTAATGGAGGAAGGAGGTGATGAGGGAAGAAAATGCTTGGAAAACCAGCAGAAGGATCTTTAGCGTGAGTTAGGGTGAAGCAGAGTAGAGAGAGCGAGGCCCCCAGCAGCCGTGCTCTGCCCCTGCGCAGGCTGTCTGTGAGCCACAGGGGTCGTGGGAGGGCCCTGCCGTGCAGGTGGCTCTGCGAGGCATGACATCAGCGCCAGGACACCAAGGACTGACCTGGAAGGGAGGAGGATGGCCTATCACTATGAACATCAGCAACGTGTATCTGGAGGTGCAGGGAAAGCTGATGGAGAAGATCCATAGGCAGAAACAGTTGGGTCAGCGTGTGCTTCGTTGGAGCTGCTCCCTGCCCCAGCCGCAGGAGCAGCTTCCTAGGGAGTGGAGGGTTGTGCCAGCTCCTTTCCTACTGGTACTGGTGAATTGGCCCAGTGGAGCAGCTGGTTGCAATGGGACGCCCTCCAACAGCCATGGTCAGGCTGTGTCAGAGCAAATGCCTTCGGACCAAGTGCATTGATACTCTTCTGCTTCATCAATAGGAAAAAACTGGTCTACTCAACTAATTAAGTTTATTCTGTTCTGTCTCTCGCAGTACCTAATTTACGCTGTTTAGCTTCAACATTCCTACTATTCTTACCTCTATACTACCAGAAAAATGGGCAGGTTAAAAATGAAATTGTCTGTGGCTTCCCTCATTGGCCATATTGCATTTATAAGATTATTAGGTATCTAAACTGGTGTGAGAAAATATACATAGTTCCTCTTTAGACCACTGAATTAACATGAAGGTTTTAAAATTCATACATAACCTCTTTCTGCATTTGTTTCAGTAACTTTTTACTGGATAGTATGTTGAACTCAATGGAGGAAGTTCTGGCAGTTGAGAAATATCTCCTAGTGATGGTTACATAGTAATTTGTACCATTACAATTTCCTGGCAACAGTATCAGGCAACTTCTCTCTTAATTTATCCATCTTTAGGGGCACTGCACAGATGTAGTTTGTGCTATAATTTGTAGATTTTTAAATGTTTAAAAAGACTAGTTTTATTTTAAAAATAAAAACAATACACAACTAAAGGGAAAAAAAAAAAAAAGTGTGTCTACTGGGTATTATTTGCATTTTTATAGAAGCTCTGGAAAAAGAAAGGATTGAAGTTCTTAGCTTCACCACTCTATCAGGTAAAAAGCAATGGATTCCTGCAGGGTAGCTTGTGAGGTCTGGTGGCATTTTGCACATTATTCTTTAAAAGTACTTGGAGGCTTTGATGACTTTTCAGAGCCTGCAGTGTCAACTCTTGTGATTTGCATTTGTTCCCTGCAATTTGCAGCTGCAGGCATTGCACTAGCTTTGTTTAAATATAATGCTGAACACCTTTAAAATACGTATTTGATCTTGGGATTAAGGAGAATACTTTTGTAATATTAAAGGCCTTTTTACTGCACACATCAAATATCTAACTTGCAATGCAGTCTTCCTGTTAGAAGTTTTGAAAAAGCCATTTCTATATTTTTAGTAACACAAAAGGAGAAACAGGGTCTTTAGAATGCCTTTTGTGCCATTTTACTAGTAGTCTCTTGTTCTCAAAGGTTTTTTTTTAAATATTATGAATTTGACACATCAGAAATGGGCAGTAAGAGAAGAGTTAGAGTGCTGTTCTGTTTGTAGTTTAGTTGTACTTAATTTTAATTTTTTGCTAGTAACTCAGTAAAGTCATGTTGACAGCACTGTTGCCATTTATCAGTGTTCTTATGTGAGGTGAAAAATTGTATGCATGCTGTGTGTGACAACCTTAACTAAAACATTGTGTAGGAAAGAGAAATTAACCCAAAAGGTTATATTAACTACAGATTTCACCATGGTAAAAGTGTTCTACACTGGAAAAAATTTGACATGTAATATTTGACCTTGATTTTAAACATTATTCTGTTTGCATATCATGTTGTTTTGCCAATTATTAGGCCTAACATAAAGATGAACCAATAACCAAATTGTATTTGATACAAAAGGGTCAGTACATGAGTGAGTGCTGGGGGTACAAGTCAGTCAGATTATACATAATCAACATCAATCCCACTGACCCCAACAATGACACCACACGACCAACAGTGGGTGGATTATAAATGGTGAAAAGCAGTCTCCCGTAGAAGGGATGGGAGACAACTGAGTCAACAAGCCAAACACATAAGACCAAGGAAGCCACATACTGAATCTCTACGCAGCCCACGTTTACAACAGCCAGACCTGACTGGAGCCCAGTTCCAGGGAGGCAGGAGGTCCTTCCCCAACAGGAAACTCCACAAACTTCATCCACCTCACAGACAGACACTACCCCTGCCTGCAAGGGGTCCCAGCTTTTACCCCTAAGTGGGACACCTGACCTTTGGTTACTTAATGCAGACACCTGGGGCTCATTTACCCAATGGCTCTGTCTGCAAGGCCGGCTGCACCCTGGAGGGAAGCCTAAAGGCAAACTCACCCCCCCCTTTGTGAAGGGCTGTGGGAGTCACCCACGTCAACCTTAATTTGGGGCTTGGGGTTGAAATCCCAGCATTTCACATGTGAGAGGAAGAAACTGACCATTGTGCAGTTAATGGAACCCCGTGTTCTGGATATCCTGGATAATTTTTTGTTATGCAATATTTAACATATTTACCCACCGTCTCAAAAGATTTATGAATTGATTTATCATATTAGATTTAATGTTATCTTTTTGAAAGTGAAAATGGGTTAAGAATTTCCCTATTTAGTTTGCATTCAGATTCTGATTAATGTTTTCTGCAGTTATTCATGTGAACAAGTTCTTGATTTCTGAAATGCTCAGCTGAGAAAGATAAAAATGTCATGATGCTCATTTGCATAATCTTTAATGCAGTAAACACCTTGAAAACAGTGTAGGTTTGTAGACTGAAAAAAATGTGGATTAGCTGAGTAAGTAATCAGATTTATGAACATAAAATCTTGGTGGGATGGCAAATAGCTTGCGAGCAGTCTGGAGACTGAGCATGGTCATATAATTAATAATTCTAAATAAAGAATAAATTCACGGAAAAAAAAGATGTCCCATTGAATTCATTAACAGAACAGAGGTTGAAGTCACTGTATAAATTGCTCACAGGGGTTATCTCATGCATCTTGGCTTGTTAGAACAAGTCTTCTAGTGCTATAACACTTTTAGTTCTATAGTAAATTTGCATTTGCTTGTAGATTAAGGCTGTGGTATTTTTATTGCAATTAGGATACAAATTTAAGTAAATTAATATTGCCAACATTATCTCTAAGTGTTAGTGGGCCATCTGTGAATGTTACCTGCTTTGCTCACTATTATTTTCTTGATGAAAAAAAACCCCTAAAGATGAAGATGTAAAGTGCAACCAGTATGTGCATCTGTTTGATAACATCTTGACTTTGGTGGTTAGTCAGTCTCACCTTTTTTTTTTTTTTTTTTTTA